CTTGGCTCATCCATGGAAATGAAAGGATTGGACTCCAGTACGATCGTACAACTTATGCAATCAATACTGGACGCAGATAGCTATTACGAGGTAAACGCGACTAATTTGGTCTAGGACTGGAGAAACACAATCATTGACTATCTTGAACACGGAAAAATGCCTGAGGATCCTAAGTCATCTCGGGCACTACGAACTAAGGCCACACGATATAGTTTCAAAGGAGGTCAACTATACAGAAAATCTTTCCAAGGCTCGTTGGCCCGATGTTTGGAGCCTCCAAAGATGTTATGCGAGAAGTCCACGAAGGGATCTGCGGGAACCACTCGGGCGCAGATTAGTTAGTACTAAAATTAATAAAGGCGGGATACTATTGGTCCCATATGGAATAAGACGACAAATCTTATGTTCAAAAATGCGATAAATGTTAACATTATGCATAGTTAGTACATTAGCCGGCAGAGCCACTGCATTCAGTTCTGTGATCGTGGACGTTCATGAAGTGGGGGATGGATATCGTTGGACCACTACCACCGGGCCCCGGTAAGGTATGATTTCTTTTGATTTTAACTGACTATTTTTCTAAGTGGGTTGAAGCAGGTTCTTATCAGAAGATTGACAAACGTGAAGTGATAGATTTATTGTGGGAGAACATAATTTGAAGATTTGGGATGCCAAAAGAAATATCCTGCGAAAATGGGCCTTAATTTATAGGCGCAAAAACCACAAAATTCCTCGAAGATTTGAAAAACAAGAGGATCACATCATCACCTTATCACCCGAGCGCAAACGGCCAAGCGGAATCAATGAACAAAGTGATCATACAAAATCTCAAAAAAAGATTAGAAGCAACTAAAGGAAAATGGCCCGAAGAGCTTCCAGGTGTACTATGGGCATACCGAACAACAACCAAATCAAGCACGGGGGAGACTCCTTTTTCTCTTGTGTACGGGGCAGAAGCCATGATCCAGGTGGAAATAGGTGAACCTACCATGAGGTACTTCCGGTCAAACGAAGAAGCAAACAGTGAAGCAATGTTGGTCAATTTGGAGCTGCTCGATGAATGTAGGGACTTAGCGTGTATAAGGATGGAAACTCAAAAGAAACGAATAGAGAGATTATAATCGAATAGCCAACCTCTGTTATTTCAAAGTAGGAGACTTGATTTTAAGGAAAGTAAGTCAGAACACCCGGGAACTCAATGCGGGAAAGCTAGGTCCAACATGGGAAGGCCCTTAATGGGTTTCAACTATTATCAGGAAAGGATCATACGAGTTAGAAAACCAAGATAGAGAAAAGTTGTCAAGCAACTGGAACATGGCACACCTCAAGAGATATTATTGCTGATGAACGTCACCTGTACTGAAAGTATGTGCTGCACTTTGTTTCCCTTCGTCCGGTTTTGTCCCAATTGAGTTTTTTGGGTAAGATTTTTAACGAGACAGCAACGGAAAGCATACTATGAAGGAAGTTGCAACAGTAGCAATAAGACCTTTTAAGGACAAGGCATACAAGAGAATAACCACTACTGAACAGTTAGATAGTCTTTTGCTTGATAGAAAAATTCCTACCTGGAAGTTGAGTTTGTTGTCGAACAGATATTACCTGACCTTTTACAAGTTCATTCCACTAGGGGATTGTTAGATAATCTTTGGCTCGATAGCATAAATTCCTGAGGGGGAGTGAAGTTGTTACCGAACTAAAGATTATCTAGAAATTCACTAGTGGAATCCTCGAAGGTGTGAAACTCCAGTGTTCTAATTCGCATTCTTCGCATTTGAACACTGCGGGGATGATATGAGGATATGAAAACCACGACTGTCACTTCAACCGGAATACAAAACTAGGAAACATAGCTGTATCATTGGGACCGGGGACTGCACGGCCAGCCCCGTAGAAACAAGTTGCACAAGTTAGACACAAGAAACGACAATTTCTTTTTAGCACAATGAATGCTTATGTACTTTTGAAAATGGAAGGAATAAAGTAAAGCCCTTTTATTCCTATCTTGTTTCATGTCTGAACGATTAATTGATTTTATCATTTGAAAGTTAAACAAGTACTTCAAATGCTAGTATCATAATGAACAGGAGACGTCCTCTTCAAGAACACCATAAATATAAGAGGGCCCTCTCTTATGAAAACCCTCGCATTAAAGGGTTGATTTTGGAAGAATTTATGCCCGGAATCCAAATGCTTTTGGGGAAAAATACACCCAAAGCCTTGCATGATCATACGCAAACAGTAAAACTTGCGTAAACACTTAAATTCAAAAAGACGCAAAGAGCAAACTTGCGCAAATGTTTAAACAAAAGTACGCAGAAAGGGAAACTTATACGATACTTGAACGAAAAGGTGTTTACACACTACAAGAAAAAAGAGATATTGTGGCATTTTTATTACGGCGGTTTCTAATAACTGCCACAATACACGTTATATTACGTCGGTTTCTTAATCGCCACAATAAGTTATTTTAAAACGGCGGTACAAATTTTGATCCTACGAGCTTTTTGACTATTTTTCAGCAAATCAGAATTCCCTCCCCCAAATTAAATTCCCTCTCACTTCCCACAAATTAGACGGACACACACACACTCTCTCCTCCTACTCTCACAATTTGGCGAAACCCTAGGTTTTAAGCGCCTCACCTCATCTTACGGTTGGAGAAAACAAAGATTTGTTGCGGATTGCAAATAGGTATATCAACACTTATCTTCTAATTTCCCAGATCTGTACGTGTTATATATTTCCTAATATGGTAGAGATTATCCTATGCATGAGACACTTGAAAATCCCTTTTTGCGTTTGTGAACAGTATTATGTATTGTGTTGGTTTGTTTGTTCGTTTGTGAAACATATGTTGGAATTTTTGTCTCTTAGTTAAGTGTGTGTGATTCATGTGAATTTTGGTGTGTTGCTCATTTTTGGGCATTGCTGATTATAAATTGTGTAAATTGCAGCAACAGTTGAAGATGTGCATATAAACTGTTTGATAAAAATCCTAAGTGACTGCCTTAAGTTAGTTTAAAATTATTTGATGATTAAGTGTCTGATGCAAGTATGCTTGGCTATTTTCTGCTTAAGCAATTCGATTCGATTGACATGGTCTATTATTGACCATGTTTGACTCTAAAATTAATTTTGTTACATATAGTGTCTATGACTAGGCGTCCAATGAACTTTATTATGTGATGGTGCATTTATGCCGATATTTTGAAGAAATTAATTCCTTTTGAATATTTGTCTTTGTGCTTTGGCAATTGCATTCCACTACACATGCTCATCATGCAATTCCAGAATGAAAGGTGATGATGTTTGTGTGCTAAATCTTTGTGCTTCACATCTTTGCAATAGGCTGAATGTTGAGCAAAAAAAACTAATGAAGGCTAAAATAGTTCAGTTATAAAATAGTCTGTTTGAAAGCTAATTCATGACCTGTAAAGGTACTTGCAAATAGTTGGATAGCACAAGCACTTCAGATTTAGTAACTGAAAACCTTTGTAACACTTTGTTCATATTGATAAGGTTATATAAAGATTACTGACTATTATAGGAAAGGCATTGGCAAGCCTAAGGAAGTTTATTGCTAATTTAATTCGCAGAGTACAGAGGTATTGCCATAGATTAATAGGTATGTATGTTAATTATCACTTGGAATATTCCACAAAGGTACTTACTAAATGTACATTCTTTAGATATTTATAAATATTTTGCTCTTATGTTAAAGAAATTCACCTATTTGAATTTGCAGGACTAGGAGCTTTGCAAGAGGACTCAATTGGTTCAATGAAAACAAGCTATTCGTCATCTGGTGATGTTATGAGTTTGGCTATAAGGACTAATATGGTAGTGTAATACGATGTGCTTAGTGATCAATTCTAAAGATAAAATACATCCTTAATTAGGTGCTAATGTTTTACATCGTGAAAATTTCAGAAATTAGACACCAGGGAAAGATATTGATCGAGGCGAATATTGGATTGGAACTCATAAGCGGCCAGATGGGAGTTATGTGAATGAAGAGGCTAGAGAAATTGTACTAAATAGTAGGTTGATTGCTTGTATTTTTTAGTTGTGATATTTATCATATAATAATAGACTATTTGTATAAGATTTAAGTATTCTTTTATCTTTCGTTTTGGAGAAAATTGAAGGATAGTGTTCGAGGTTAGACTTGGGTGCAGTTTTGACTGTAGTATTCGAGCAAACTTCTATACGACTTAGTCTTAGGAGATATCCCCGAGTAGTTAGCTGGCTTATTTCCCACTGCTCCACAGGTATAGTACTCATCTTTTCTTATTTTCTTTTCTGCTGGGGCTTGAAATATACACTCTTGACGCTACTAGCTCTTTGTATGTGTGTTAAGGAAAACTAATATTGAAGGATCTAATAGTGTATGAGTTAACTGAACGAGTATACTTTTAGAAGTTGCATGACATATACTTGATAAAGGAGCTGAACCATTATGTTCCTCTTCCTCCCTTTCTTCCATGGTACGGTCATGGGTGGGTGAGGGGAAAGATCAAGCAGTATATTATAGTCACAACAGGAAAGGTGCCTCTCTCTCTTTCAGAAATTGTCATTCTGTTTTAGGTAGATCATGAAGTGAAGTATATGTTTGTCATTGACTTTCTGAAGTTAGTTTTCTGGAATGCAGTTGAATAAATAAATTACTGTCAGTGATGTCAATATTTTAGTTATTGTGGGTTTTCCTGTAATACTGTCTCTTTTTATTTTGTTTTGTTTTGCAGGCATCGAATTTATGAAGTGGCACTCCTTCATCAATTGGGTCAAAAATATCTACAGACAAGTAACAATACCGATTGAGCGTGTAAAAATTAGTAATCATGTTTAGGATTAACTATGAATCTCTTGGATGTTGTTGTATTGAATTACTCTTTGACATAGAAATACATTGGATAATGTAATTTTGGAGTAACTATATTTAATTTGTTTAATTGTTTAATAAATAATTTGGTTGTTTAATCCTTTATATTATGTGTAAAAATTCAATATGATATGGAAATTTTAGGGTATGGAGTGCCGTAGGATGTCAATGTGGAATGGAAAAATTGTTATATTACTAATGATTGGAATTAATGGTCATAATATTATTTAATAGAAATTTAGTTTTATATTTGCAATTATGGCGGTTAAGAACTGCCATAATAAACAACATAACAACGCCATAGGTAAACAATGTAATTGTGGCGGTTTTTAGCTACATGTTAGAGCGGTTATGTTAAAATCGCCCTAATAAATTTTTGGCGCACGGGATTATGGCGTTTCCTAAAGCCACCGTAAATGCAGATTATGGCGGTTTGAAACCGCCGTTATAAGCAAAAATAATTGTAGTAATAAGGCAGTTTTTTTGTAGTGACAATGAATGTGCCAAATGGCATCAGTACAAAAAAGTAAAAACAATAAATCAAAAACTAAGTTGCTGCATCTTCGGAACCCGGAGGAAAAGAAGCATTCGCGCCTCCAGGAGAAGTGGGTAGATCTGTCACTGGTTCGATATCCTGGCCTTCATCATTTTGGCCTTCAGCATCATCGCCTTCTGGTTCCTCTTCATNAAGATCAAGCAGTATATTACAGTCACAACAGGAAAGGTGCCTCTCTCTCTTTCAGAAACTGTCATTCTGTTTTAGGTAGATCATGAAGTGAAGTATATGTTCGTCATTGACTTTCTGAAGTTAATTTTCTGGAATGCAGTTGAATAAATAAATTACTGTCAGTGAAGCTATTTGACTTTTATGTTCCTATTCTTGTTGATGTCAATATTTTAGTTATTGTGGGTTTTCCTGTAATACTGTCTCTTTTTGTTTTGTTTTGTTTTGCAGGCATCGAATTTATGAAGTGGCACTCCTTCATCAATTGGGTCAAAAATATCTACAGACAAGTAACAATACCGATTGAGCGTGTAAAAATTAGTAATCATGTTTAGGATTAACTATGAATCTCTTGGATGTTGTTGTATTGAATTACTCTTTGAAATAGAAATACATTGGATAATGTAATTTTGGAGTAACTATATTTAATTTGTTTAATTGTTTAATAAATAATTTGCTTGTTTAATCCTTTATATTATGTGTTAAAATTCAATATGATATGGAAATTTTAGGGTATGGAGTGCCGTAGGATGTAAATGTGGAATGGAAAAATTGTTATATTACTAATGATTATTTAATAGAAATTTAGTTTTATATTTGCAATTATGGCGGTTAAGAACTGCCATAATAAACAACATAACAACGCCATAGGTAAACAATGTAATTGTGGCGGTTTTTAGCTACATGTTAGGGCGGTTATGTTAAAATCGCCCTAATAAATTTTTGCCGCACGGGATTGTGGCGTTTCCTAAAGCCACCGTAAATGCAGATTATGGCGGTTTGAAACCGCCGTTATAAGCAAAAATAACTGCAGTAATAAGATAGTTTTTTTGTAGTGACAATGAATGTGCCAAATGGCATCAGTACAAAAAAGTGAAAACAATAAATCAAAAACTAAGTTGCTGCATCTTCGGAACCCGGAGGAAAAGAAGCATTTGCGCCTCCAGGAGAAGTGGGTAGATCTGTCACCGGTTCGATATCCTGGCCTTCATCATTTTGGCCTTCAGCATCATCGCCTTCTGGTTCCTCTTCATTTCCCGAGAACTCAGAACCGAACAGAAGAATCACTAGCATCGGGCTTGGCCAGAATACCCCTTTTATTAGCTGACTCCAGCTCACGGGCTTTAGCGATTTCGGCATCAAAGTCAATGACACCCGCTTTAGCCTCTTCCAAGGCTTTTCTCCTCATGCTATACATAGCATGTATTTTTTCAACAACGAGGGAAGCCGCTCGACAACAGCAAGTTATTAAGACTTGGAGTTTAAGGATGCCTCTAAATTATGCACTCTTTCAGCAGAGGTAGCCTCACGATCGGATGCAGCAAGGACGATATTACGGACTTTAACCCATTTGGTCTTAGTTTTTTCATATTGTGCCCTTAATAGGACAACCACTTGGCTAAGGGTCATTGTTTCCTGCTCGCTTTGCTGCAACCGAGCCTCCAATTCAACAGCCTCGGTAGCTCGCGCTTCTAGTTCTGAGAGGCGAGCAGGAATTTGGCGTGTGGCAAAGGTTGAGTTGAAGAAGAGGGAGATAAAGCAGATGGCATTGCAGGGCGAGAAGCAACTGCGGCAGGTGTAGTTCTAGTTGGTGGTTGCTCATCAACTAAAGACGGAAGAGGCCCAGTACTTAGCCCTATAGTATCGGACGCGGCAGCTAGGACTCGGAAGCGTGAGTTGGCATCTTCTACCATATCAAACTCCCCCCAGAGTGTCGAGGCATCATCCCCCGTTGGTGTATCCAACTCAATAGATTGAGCATTCCATTGAGTTGATGAAGGTTGTCGTCTTCTATGTAGAGAAGCCCATCATCATTGGCTTCTCCATCATCATCGATCACCATGGTTTATGGGACCGGCTCGGGTGCGCCGTTCATCACCTCAACATCCGAAAATGACTCGGGTGCTGCGCTCTTTGCCTTTTTATTTGTTTCCCCGGCTGCGGATCAACGTCTCCTTTTTTATTGCTTGTTCTCCGGCCAGGGACTCTGAGAAGAAGCACTTGCACCAGAAAACACGTGTTTGCGTACAGGCTTTCTGCACTAGCCTCGCTGCATCAGCGTGATTAGCCAAAACGTCCTCCTCGGGGACGATAAGGGAGCCCTGGGGTAGACCTGAATCCAACAGGAGAGAAAGGTTAAACAACTTCCTTATACGAAAAGGTAAGAACAAGGTGAGTTTGACTTACCATGATTTTTGGCCTTCCACACATATTTAAGGGCCAATTCTTTCCACGTGCGGGTCTCAGGCGTAGTAACGTCCAAAATATTTTGGACCCACTGGTCCAAGCCTTCAACCCTAGGTGGAACCCACCGAATCGCTAAAATAAGCGAAATAAGAAGGATCAATAACAATATGGAATGATCTTTAACGGAAGAAAAGACAAATGATGAACTTACGAGTGTGGTTCCATAGTTCCTTAAAGGATGAAGCCGTAGCCGGAATGATGTCACTGGTGGCGACTGAAATGAGCCATTCCATCCACCCACGATCGTTATCATTATCCATGTTGGATAGCAGAGCATGGTGGCCGCGCTTGCTGCAATTTATCATTCCCCCGCAGAAGATCTTGGGGGAATAGAGGTTCATCAATCGAGCTTGGGTTAGCTCTTCTCCTGTATCCTGGCACAGGCATCGAAGACAAGCGACTGTCCTTCACACAGAAGGACTTACCTATGCCAAGCACACCACGTAGCACATGCATAACTCCACGATGATGGAGTCAAGTTCTCCACTCAAAGAAAACGGTCCCAACGTAAAGGGATACGTGTAAAAATACGTAAAATCCTTCCTGGGTAAGGTTATTCACTCCGCCAGGTCGGGAGCGATAATGTCTAAATCTTGACTGTGGCATTCTTCTTTCATACCAGGAATACTGGAAGGACAGATGGAAGAAGGATATACGCTAACGGCCCATGTACGAGGGTGAGCGGAAGGATACTTCTCTTCAAATCTTTGGTGGTGACAAGACTCTTTGGGATGATGGAGCTCACCGTAGGAGGAGCAGCATCATCAGCTTTACCTTGTTATTTGAAGAACTANTCCATACCGCCCCAAACTTGGATTCCTGACCCAATCCAATGTGGGGGGGGGGGGAGGTTTTCTCTCAAGATGAACGTTAAATTTCATATTGTTAAATGTTAAACACTTCTCGGGGTTAAGTTTCATATTGTTCTCCCTCAGGATGTCGAATGTTTCTTGCAACTGCTTCAAGTGGTCACATGCATCAAAGACTTAACGAGCATATCGTCTATATATATATATATATATATATACTTTCATAGTCTTTCCTATTTATTTTTTGAACATCTTATTCACGAGCCGTTGATAAGTGGCTATGATGTTTTTAGCCCGTAGGGCATCACATTGTAATAATATATACCAAAATTTGTTATAAACGAAGTCTTTTCCAGATATTCTGGGTTCATCTTGATTTTATTGTACCCAGAAAAAGCATCGAGGAAACTCATTAACTCGTGCCCGGCCGTAGTATCAATTATCTGATCGACATTTAGCAATGGGAATGAGTCTTTCGGGCACGCCTTATTAAGATCCTTATAATCTACGCACATGCGAAATTTTTGTTTTTTTATGTACTACTAATACATTGGCTAGCCGGTCCGAATACCTTACCTCTCGGATTGAACCAATCTTAAGTAAACGAGTTACCTCTTCTTTGACAAATTTATTCATTGCTTCAATAATAGGGCGCTTCTTCTGCCTTATCGAAGGTATGTTGGGATCCAATGTTAACTTATGTATGGCTATCTCTGTTGAGATTACTTCCATATCCTCGTGTGACCATGCAAAATAGTCGGCGTTAGGTTTAGTAAATTCAATAAAAGCTGACCTGAGTTCCGGGTGCAGTCCTGTTCCCAAATTGGATTTCCTTTCTAGTAATTCTTCTAACAACGCGACCTGCTCTAGTTCTTCTACCGTGGATTTCATCGCGTCCGTCTTTTACGGTACTTGAAAATACCTTGGTACCTGATATTGATTCGACTTTTCTGTCCCCGGGTTATCTTCCTCTTGTTCAGGGGCCGGTGCCGATTTTAGTAATTGCTATGCTGCACGTTCCTTTCCTTTTCTACTAGAAACCGAAATTGCATTCATCTCCCTTGCTGCCAGTTGATCATCCTTTATCTGTTTGATCCCCTTGGTTGTCGGAAATTTTAATAATTGGTGATATTTTGAAGGCATTTCCCAAGATGATGTTATACCTCATGTCTCTATCTACCACTTCAAAGAGTGTTGTCTTCATTACTCCCTCAACGTTTGTGAGCAGAAAATTTTCTCCCCGGGTTGTCACGCTTGCGAGCTTGAATCCG